TGTCACCCAGGCTGGAATGCAGTGGCATTATTACAGCTCTGCAACCTCCTGGGCTCAAGTAGTTCTCCCACCACAGCCTCCTGAGTAGCTAGGACCACAGGCCTGAGCCACTATGTCCAGCTAATTTTTTATTTTTTGTTGTGACAGGGGTCTTGATATGTTGCCCAGGCTGGTCTCAAACTCCTGGCCTCAAGCAATCCTCCCACTTTTACCTCCCAAAGTGTTGGGATTACAGACATGAGCCACCATGCCTGGCCTGCAATTACCTTCTTTATAGGATATTTGCCCCTTGATTCCTGGCTGCCTTGGTAGCTGTGAACTCCATTTCCCATCTTCCCACCTTACTAGTCTTACGACACTGCTGAAAGCTCTGTTGAGCTTCTCAGCCTTTAGCCACATCACTTTTGATTTATCCAGTGCATCAAAGATGAGGGCAGTGTAGAGTGTTGGGTTCACCTCAGGAAGTTTCTACTTCTTTTTCAGAAATTTGGACTCTCAACTCCTGGCTGCCTTGATAGGTCCACAGTTCCTCCAAATATATATTATTTGTACTTGCTGTAGCTTTTCTAACTGTTCTCAGGAGCGTTTGTCTGCTATAAGCTAGTCCATCAGTGCAGTACGTACAATTCAGGGATAGCTTTCACTCTTTGTAGGAAGCAGCTGCATTTGGTAGAGAGAGCTCGGAACTCAAGGTAAACACAGAATGAATCTCCTTTGTCCTGGAAGACCTGCAGGGGTCATTGTGAAGATGGCAGAACGTGGTGATATGTAAAATCTGCTAATAACAGGAATAGAACTGTGCAAATGTTATGGAACTCACAGTTCAAAAGGAACCAAGGTCTTGGTTAACAATATATTGCAGAGTAGTAGGGACTATGTTTTCACTTTCAGGATTTGGGTGTTTGGCACCGGGATAAATGTCCAGCACCGGGGTTTTGCTATGTGCTGGGCTCCTTTTTGTGCACTTCCTGGAGATAAACCATTAGGCCACATTTAGTAACATCATCGAGTTCACTAGTTCACCCAGCTCACAGTGTTTCATTTGCCCATGAAGTTGTTTCCTTAGAGACAGAAGAAAAAAATGACACATTTTTAGTCTTTGGAAAGATTAAAATTTTGTTTTTTGGTGTTCTCGGAAGAGGAAGGGGACAAGACAGAGCCAAACATTCAGCTATTGTCGACAACTCTGTTTGTCACCTCCCTGCTCCTGTTCACCAAACTTGACAGAAACTGTTTTTCTGAGCCGCCCAAATTTATGTGAAGTGGAACTGCCTTCTACTGGAAAGCAAATGGAGCTGCTTTCTTGGTTGAGTATTTTGTTCTTTGTTCTACCATGTTATTTCCATGGTCTTAGTCCAGCAGAGCTCTGTGGATCCTCTTCTATTTCAATTTAAAGTTTATGTGTTTAAGGGATGTTGTGTGACCCTTTCCAAGCCAAATTTCTGCCTTGTAGCTTAGACACTAGGGACAGTAGAATAGTGGACTCTTAGAACTGCCGGAGACTTGGTCCATTCTTCTGATTTTATAGATTAGAAAATGGAGACCTGTTCAAGGGTTCAGTTTGGCTTCCTTCACAGGATGGTACAGCAGAAACCTGGAATCAGATCCTGACTGTGCCACTTAACGGTGCAATCTTACAGAGACATCTAACCTCTGAGTGAGTTTTGATTGTGTGGTCTGTACAAGAATAGTAAAAAGGATGAGAATGATACCTGCCTGCCACTGAGATTACACAGAATGCATATGAATCACCTAGCCTGGGCACCACTAAATGGTGCTAAAAAGATTAAACAAATATTTATTGGCTTGCCAGACTGTGGTGGTGGGAACATGGGGCCTGTCTTTGAGGAGGTGGCCACGGTCTAGCAGTTATCCCTTTAGTAAAGTTCATGGGGATTCTAGTCTTTTATTTCACACATGAAATTCAGATCTTGAAGTCAGAACCCTGAGAACAAGGACTTGTGACCGATTTTATCGGCAGCTTTATTTCTCCCGTCATTGCTCTCAGCAGACCCTTCCTGATCTCCACCAAGGTGTGCATTATGGAAACTGGATAATAGCCTCAGTCTGAATTGGGAGATGACAGAATCACTGTTTCACAGAGGAGCACTACTGCCTATATTGTCAAGCGTGGAGTCTGGGTTTTCAGTTGGGGCTTCAGACGTGCCAGATCGACACCGTGCCCTGTCGCTCTTCTCTGCATGAGCAGCTCACATTTATTTTCATGGAAGACCCTGAGATCTTTCCAGACACCAGTCGCACCAGCATGTCTGTGTGTCTTGGATACCTCTGTGGCTCCGTGTGTCTCTTGTGGAGTCAGAGCTTCCTTTGTGCTATATGGAAGATTCAGGAATGAATGCAGATGTTTCCTAAACCAACAACACTCCTGGCATCCTGTCTGGGAAGGCTCGATTTTCTTTCTTTTTTGGGTGCTTTGTTCTACACTGGTGATTCTGTTTTCTCTGATCTTTGTAAGGCCTCAAAGGCTTCTGATTTCTATATAGAACTTGAAAGCATTTCAGCTAATTAAATTTCTTATTTTTTATTTTTAGTAGAGACGGGGTCTTGCCATGTTGCCTAGGCTGGCCTCAAACTCCTGGCCTCTAGTGATCCTCTCACCTTGGCCTCCCAAAGCACTGGAATTATAGGCATAAGCCACCACACCTGGCCGAAAGCTTCTGATAAGAAGTCTTTATGGAATTTGCTATTTTGTCTCCCTTTCTTTCTTCTCTTACTCTGCTTTGCTCACACGGAAATTCCCCAGTTATAAAAATGCCAGTTTCCCCCTAGAGTATTTGTTGCCTTGGCAGGCTTTTTATGTCATGCACCAGATTTACTGTTCTGGGGCCCGTTTTGTTATATCTTGTTCACACTACTCATTTCAGTAGAGAGGGACATTTTAATACTTGGACACCTGCAGATTACAGAGGGCTTCCTCCCCTTCTCATCTTGTTGGAACTTCTTGTCACCATATAATATATATAATACTTCTGCAACATATAATACTTCTACGTAACCCAGGGTAGGAGAAGGATCAGCCATGGAAAAATGTTATGCAAAGGTAATTTTAAGTTTAAGGAAAAAAAAAAAAGAGAAAAGAAAAAAGTGAAACAAAAAGAGAAAATAGACTTCCATACAGTGCTAGTAAGTCATTTAATTGTTTGTTTGTTTGTGTTCCTTCTGTGGTTTAAGTATTTTGAAGCCATCAGTGTTCCTGGTTTCTGGTTCTAAAGGCAGACATGAATTTAAAAGGCAGCATAGTTTTATTACAGGGAAATTATGCCAGATTTCATTTCTTTCTTTTTTCTTGCCAGCGGAATATTTCCTACATTCTTATTTAAGCTTACTAAAGATGAAGATCCGAAGTTTGTATAATTCTCTTTCCTAACTTACCTTACCCATTTCCAAGAAGATGCTTCACAAACCTCATAAGAGTTATGTAAGGTAATACATGTTTGAATTGGTAAATTGTGAGGGTCATTAATTTCTGAAAAGGCATAATAATTTCTGTAGATAATTTTGAAGAGAATAACCATGATCTATGAATAAAAGGCTCATCTCAGTATGTAAATAGTTTCTGAGCCAGAGTTAGACACAGGGGATTCTAAAGGCAAACTCTGTTGGACTCTGTGGGAGACAGGTTGCAAATGCTGAGCTTCATTAAGCGTGTTATACTTACAGCTCAAGAAACACAATAATTTGTGTGAGAGATTATTCAGGCCACATGTCACTCCATAGTCTTATAAAATTCCTTCTATCTTGCCAAGGAATCTGGATTTGACATTTTTATTTCAACAATATTTTATATAGGTAGATACAGATAAATCTCTTTGCAAAAGGAAGAATTACAAATGCTAATTTGTTCCACTGAGCTGTAAACATTTTTTCTGCTGCTTAATAGGACAAAGTACATAAAGATTAATTAAATGATCGAAAATTTCCAAGCTTCTTTTTAATCGTGTAAATGGAGTCTATTGCCAAAAGATATCTAGCCCTGGTAAACATGATAGATGATGATGGGGATGCATGGTGACTTGGATGGACTCCATTTGTGCATTCTGCCTGAGTGTGTTGGCCACAGGCTGTGGTTAACAAAAAATATCCCCTCTGACAACATGTGAGCCAGGGTGTGGGGGTCAGCAGTTTGTTCTCATGTCTTAAGGGTGCCTCCCCAGGGAGAGGATGAGGGGAGTGCTCTGTGGCTGGGGATAGGGCCTCTAGGAAATGGGTGGCTCAAATGTTATTACTGCCACATGTCTGAGTGTTTCTGTTTGGTGAAATCCAGGGCTGGACCTCAGCTGGGTAGAAGTTCTTAAGCAGGAGTTACAAAGCCTGCCTTCTGGCCCTCACTCTGCCAGCTAATCCCATGGAAGCACAGATCCACCATTTGTAAAATGGGACAGTGTTACTTATTTCTGTCTTTTGGGGTAAATGTGAGGTGCTCTTTGAAGTGATGATTGTCAGAGTTCCTTGAAAAACCTAAAGTAATGTATTAGTTAATATGTTGATAAATTTATCAGATACTCTCTGAGCATCTGCCAAAAAAACAGGCCCTGTCCTGGGCCAGCCTTATGGGCATTAGGCTCACACACACACATAACTAATGTTTAGTCATGTTGTAAGGATGCTTTGAGGTGCTGCTGGAGTGCCACCTTGGAGCTGAAAGGGATTTTTTGTGCAGTTCGTGTACCCATATATTTCTAGTGTGTAGTAAACTACTATTAGGTGATTTTATAAAAATTTGTTGAATGAATGAATGGTTTTCACAAGTATTATAGTAAATAATATGTGGTCTTGTTATTGGCCATGTATTATTTATTATAATACTTGTGAAAGGTTTATGGCCTAGTATTTGTTATACTACTAGGCCAAGGTTATTGGTTTCATGTTCGTCATATTCATTCCATAGAGGCAGACAGCTGCTTATTGTCCAGCAGCTGCATGGTGAATGGAAGGGGTGGTCCTGGGGCAGGGCGGGAGGGGAGCTCACAGGAACCCAGGCAGCAGGGCCAAGGCTGTTGCACTGGCCCTTGGCGCAGCTGCCATTGCTTGTTCCCACATGGTGTGGCTTGGCTCAGCCCTTGACCCTGGCATCCATTGCCTCGTTATCCAAACACAGAAATGACCTCCTCTGTGGCCTTGGGGGTGGCCTCAGCTGTGTAAACACATGTATATGTGCATATACTTTATATATATGATACACAGGTGTGCTGTGTGTATCTGTCTAACATGAAGAGCTCAGCTATAGAGTCAAATAGATCGAGCATTCCAGTCCTGGTTCAGTCACTTTTGCTGGCTTTGTGCTCTCGGAATAGTTTCCGAATCCCTTGAAGCTTGGGGGTTTTTAGCTATAGGGAGGTGACAGTAGTACCTAGTTTATAGGGTTATTGTGAGCATTAAATGGGCTGGGCTTACAAGGGTGCAGAGTGGGTTGGGTGGTAATATTTGTAAGAGTGTGAGTGTCAGTTGTCACTGCCCTCATGTCAATACCATTTATTATAGGATTTATACTGGGCCCAGGGCTGAGAATCTCATGTGCATGATCTTACTTTTAATAACACAACTATGCAGTGAGTTTTTAAACTCAAAAGGAAACATGTCACCAGCAGTGACTTGCATGAGGGCTTTTGTTTGTTTTGGTTGAAAGAGTGTCCTGAGCCGCACCCCTACTCTGAACACATTCCCCAACCTCCACCATGCTTCCAGGATCTGCTCCTTTCTTACCAGTTTAGGTTTTTCCCTGTGTGGGTCTTTGTAAGTCTTTTCCTAATATTGGATAGCCCATTCCTTGAACTGCAGCTGTAGAACACCTGAACATTTTGATTTATGGTTGCACAGGAGGCTATAGCAAATTTACAGACTTTAAATTATGTAATTAGAGTACAAAGCCATACTGTAAACTATGCCCCTCTTGTTTGCAAAGTCTCACACCCATCAGTTGTCTTGGAGTTTGATTGATCTCCACTGGGTGCTGGCTGTCTGCAAAATGCTGTACTGGCATGATTAGTTTAACCCATCTCTACTTCCAAAGAGTTGATAGTCTACTGTGGAGACAGCCAGCCAGACAAATCGTTATGTGCAATAAGGTGAATGCTCTGACAGTACCAGAAAGACAAATATGGTGGGCTAAGGAGAGGGAGAGTGGTTGGGTGTGTTCAGGAAGGCCCTCTGAGAAGGAGGCATTTGAGTGCGGTGATTCTTCCTATGTGAGGAATAATCTACAAAATACCCGACCAATACTTCTCAAAAAAGTACTGTTCAAAACAAGCGAAGGAACTGTCATAGACAACAGGAGGCTAAGGAGACATGACAACTAAATGTAATGTGATATCCTAGATGTGATCCTGGAACAGAAAAATGACGTTAGGTAAAAACGAAGGACATCTGAATTAAGCATGGACTTCAATTAATAGTAATGTATTAATATTGATTCATTAGTTGTGACAAATGTACCAATAAGTATAAGTGGATAACAACAGGGGAAACTGGGTGTGGAATATACAGAAACTCCCTGTATGGTCTCAGCAATTATTTTGTAAATTTAAAACCGTTCTAAGATTAAAAAGTTTATTGAAAAATACCTACTGAACTGAACTCTGGATTTATCTTCACTTTTGACTGAACAGCAGGACGCCAAGTTAACATGCCAATATGTGTTCTGTGGATGAAGATTGAGGGATGGATTAAAAAATCTTAGCTCAACAAATAACAACTCTGTGCATGGAAGTTGCCAAAGATGTAGAAAATTCTTGCCAGGACGTAGGGTGACTCTTCAGATAACGCAGAGCTCGTTTGAAATATCATTGTTCCAAGGGGGCCAAACCAAACAGGCCACACCACACAGTGGCCAAGCTGTGCTGTCCTGGGTTCATTCCAGCCCTACGCCATAACCACCATGAGATTTTTGTACGAGCAGTTTACACCCTGAACTTCAGTTTCCTCATTGATAACATGAAAATCATAGTATATCATGCCATTGGCAGTTTCGAAGTTAAATGAGGGTGATGGTGTCTGTAGTGCACTCAGCACAGTAGTTGGTACTCATTAGCTGCTCCCTACAGGGCAGCTGTTGCTGTTGCCCGAAACTTCTTTTTGTAACATGCAAAACACATTCCATTAACACAAGTCTAATGACTTTGCTTAATGGCAGTAGATGATGCCAGCGGCTACCTTGGTTTGATTTCAAGGATAGAAGGACATTCTTCCCCTACAAAATGTCTGTTATTAATACCGCTTCCAGTTCCCCCTTGAAGAATTAATTGTGCTAAATAATTTGTGTTAAATATGACCATGTCTCTTTCAAGCTGCTCATGCCGCTAGAAAGAACAGTACATCCAGCGTGAAGGGGCTTTTCAGGTTTGCCGTGCAGGGGAGCCTTGAAACAGGTAGGAGAGAGGCTTGGAGAGGGAGAAAGGGGTTCAGAGGAGCGGGCAAAACTTGTTTACTTTTCAGACCCACCTAGATCTACCTAGGGATGGCCCTGTTGCTCTTTATCTAAGATAAATTAGTATTGTATATTTCCTGCTAAGCTAAGTATCCATGCAGTTTGGATTTATCTGACTTGTACAAATGAAATATAGGTCCAAAGCATTTTTATACATTTACATGGTAAAGATTAATCTTTACCCAATCAGCTGGATCCCTGGAACTCAGCTTTTATGAAGAGGAATGTTAGCGGACCCACCAAGCACCTAATATGCTCAACTTTTTAATTGCCTTTTTTCTGCCCCTCAGGAATTATTACATCAATTTTGTTTACCCAGATTGAAAATCCAAGTGTTTCTGTTGTCAGCATGTGCTGCACCTAAGCATGCTGACTCTGGCTCAATTTCCCCTTGGCTGCATTTTCCATCTTTTTTCTATTGCAGAATTTCTTCAAAGTTATGTGAGCCCTACCCTCCGTGGGTAGAGAAGTTGAGCGGAAAAAATGGTTCCCTGGGTAAATAAGTTTAGGAAATGTGAAACCAAGGTAAGCAGGTTTCTCTACTGCAGGGCTTTTCAGAGCCTTGGTTTTGCTGACATGCACTGAGTCCCTGAGAGTGATGTGGTGTGGCTCATCTCCCAGTACCAGGAAACCTGTCTTCTTGTATCAGCCCTTTATGCAGAGGGATCAGTGTTCTGAGGTACATACTTGAAAAACACTGCTCCATACTGTTTTCTAATTTTTTCACATTCATCGGACTTGCCTTTCTGTGTCCCCATATTGTCTGCAGCATAATTTCCATGTTATTAAATTTTTTCTCCATATCATTTTTCCTTACTGCTTCAATATATGTTTGTAACTCTTTTTAATAGCATGGCTGAGCCTCTATGGAACCTTGGATTTTATTTTAGTCACATAATCTCCTATATTGGCATTGAGTTATTAGTGAGTTGTCAATCACCTGTGCATGTTAAGGAGGCAGAAGCAAATTGTGGCTGAACCCAGAGGTAGAGCAAATCACCTCAATGATTATGTGTAAAAAAAAAAAAATCCAGCTTGGGTCCTATAATTCCTTTTTTATGGCAGTCCCACTATGTGGGCTTATTTTAATAGAAAAATTTGAGAGATTAATGCACTTGCTAAGGTATTTTTCTACTGTCATCACGCTCCTTATGATTGAGGAGAAGGCAGTAAATCTCAAGTTATCTAGTTTTTAGGATGTCAGTTTTTATATGTGACAGTACCTGGCAGAAAAGTGGGTACAATTAAGCAAATATGCCCTGTTTTTCCTGAAAAAAGGGAAAAAAACCCACAAAAGGTCCCTTCCAATTTAAGTCTAAATAATGTAAAAAAGAGGCTTTGCAAGAGTTGCTGTGAAAACCCCTAAACAGCAGGCAATTATCTCCCTAATGCAGTTTAAACTGCCCATCATGGGGCCAACTGAGACATGGTACAGTGATTCACATCAGCTCTCTTTCCTCCTGTGGGTCAAAGAAATTAATTTGCTCTTGCCTCCGAAAGTGCTGTTGACCAAAACCTTAAACCATAGCACTAATGAACTCATTTGAGGTCTTCAGATCATTTTGAATATTTTATTTATTAGCAACATATAAAGCAATAGATGTGTTTATTGTTGTAAAATGTAACCATACTGTAGAAGTGATGCCCATAAATGTATCAGTCATTCTTCCTAATGATTGTCAAAATATGACTATTTCATATATAAAAAGAAGTATGTGTCTGGCCCCGTGGCTAAAATATAGGACATAAAGCAGTACTGTACGGTAATTATTGAGTCAGCTAGGACCCAGCTCTCAGGTAGAACTTGGTTTGAAGTATTGCCAAGACCTTTCAAAGGCTCTTGAAGAACAAGAACAATTAAGGATTAAATTTTTGAGTTGCTTTGCTTTCAGCTCCATAAGCAAGAATGCAGTTATTGTATTGGTTAAATGTGGAAATAAATCAGTAAATGTTTATAAGGTTAACCGCTATCCCAAAGGAAGGGTATACAGCAGTGAGCCTAACCCTTTTAGCCTTTAGAGATTTTATAATTCAGATAGAAAGACAAGATATAAATTCATGGACAAGGTTAATGTCAATTCGAGAATCAAGGAGTGCTGAAGCAGCTCAGGATTCCACTGACAGTATTTGAAAAGCTCTGTTACATCTGTTGTGATCCCTGTTGCCAAATGAGGTGTCCAAGCCAAAAGTGTTGGGTCAGAGGGAGATCATTGTGTGCTGAGGGGGTTGGGGAAGAACAAATGTGATTCTACTGGTCGCCATGGTTCAGAATCATCACTTCACTTCCTGAAAAGCAGACAATCTGAGTTTGGCTCAAAAATATTCTACTAGGATAGGAAATAATAGAGTGTAATGAGTAAATAGCGTGGCTTCACACAAGTCAGACTTATGTGGAATTTTGGGCAAGTTACTAAGCTTTGTCTCTAATCCTCTCTTCACTCATCATTAAAATAGTTATAGTTAAAATGTAATACGACTACAATAACTGTCAACCTAGTTTCTAGGAGAAAAAAATCAGATAATACTTTCAAAATAAAATCACTTTACGCTAGGCTAGACACTTGGTAAAGTCTTGCTAAGTGTCAGCTGCTGTGATAATCACTGTAAATGACACCTGTGCAATCCTATTTCAGGCCAGGAATAAAGTTTGCATAGAGAATAGGAGAATACAGTTAAATAACTTAATTTCTAATGTGAAATATCCTTTTGGCATTTATGAGAACAATGTCTGTGGTGGTCCAAGGTATTAAAGGGACCCTCTATGTAAGAGGAAATTAGGAGTATTCAACTCATCAAGACAGGAAAAAAGAATTAACTGGTGATGGTCATATTAGCTTTATTTTTGTTGTTGTTGTTATTGAAGTGAAAACATCTCAGACAGGAGCCATCAGAGAGGCTGGCAGATCCCTTTGGTGGGTTGTTGGAGGTAAAAATCCCAGCATTCGGGCTGAAAGATCAGAGATGATAAGCAAGTCTGTTTCCTTCCAACCTACTCAAGAGAGCAGTAATTACTAGATATAATAATGCTTGTCAAAGGCGGTTACTGAAAACCCTCTGCTGCTTCAGCGTAATCAGAAAGACAGAGTTGTAGGATGATTTTCCTTGTGAGAGGCACCTACTCAGAATACTAATTAGGCGAAGTAAAAGGGATGTGGATCAGCATCCCACACCACATGCATTTCCCCTAGTAAGTGACGATGAGAGAGGAAGGAGGAGGAGGAGGAGGAAGAATTCGACTTATCTGTTTTATGGTTCATGATGCGATTTCCCAAATTGATTTCGGGCTTTATTATTCTCATCAGCTGGTTTTGTAAAGAGATGCTTGGAGGGACCACAGCAAAGTGAAGGCTGGCTTTTCCCAAGAGGGAAAGCTAGTATTTCAAGAAATTTTGGAGGTGTTATCATACAGGTACTTGGAAATATCTTGGTTAAAAAAAAATTTACCAAGGCAAAACATACCATAGGACCCAGTACCAGTGGGATCAAAATAAAATATGTTATCATCCAATTCACTGAAAAAACTATCTAAAAATAAAGTTTAGAGTCTTGTTTTGTTTTTTTGAGACAAAGTCCCACTCTGTCTCTCAGTCTGGAGTGTAGTAGCTCCATCTTGGCTCACTGCCACCTCCGCCTCCTGGGTTCAAGTGATTCTCCTGTCTCAGATTCCCAAGTAGCTGAGATTACAGGCACCTGCTTCCACACCTGGATAATTTTTGTATTTTTAGTAGAGATGGAGTTTCGCCATGTTGGCCAGGCTGGTCTTGAACTCCCGACCACATGTGATCCACCCACCTCGGCATCTCAAAATTCTGGGATTACAGATGTGAGCCACCACTCCCAGCTAGAGTCTTTATACTTTTGCTTTCTTTTGGGTGCCCTCAAAATAGAACTTGAATCCAGTGGCAAATTGGCCCAGTAGCCAAGAGTGACTTTCTTGAGGTAAGTCTGTGTCTTTGCTTTTATTTGCTGCCAAACGTTCAGTTTCTAAGAGAAATATAAACATTTATCTAGAATAATCTCAGTGTTGGCCTGCACATGGCTGTTGTATAATGATCATCACTTGGGGATCCCTGTCTGTTGGGCACTGTTGTAAGCACTTCCTGAGCAGAACTGCGTATAATCCTCAGAGCCTACAGAACGGTAGGTTTTATTAGTATCATGAGTACCTCTGTTAGAGAAGAGAAAAGCTAGCACAGTGAGCTAGGTGTCTTGGCCAAGCCCTTCTAGCTTGTAAACGGTGGAGCTGGGGTTCAAACCCAGGCCATCTGGCTCCAGAGTCCACAGTCTAAGAAAGCCTATTAATCAGCAAAGGGACTCTGTGGTAACTTGGAGCTGAAGACACAGCCTTCAGAGCAGAATCTGTACAAACTGGGTCTTATGGAGACCAATTTGGGTATGCTCAATCTAAATTACACACAAGAGACTATTGGCTGGTATATGGCCTGCATGCTGGCTCACGTGGCTGTGGTTACATGGAGTGGGGAGGTAGAGGGGTGGATGCCAGACTGACACTATTAGGGGAGGTCCTGTGGCATAGATTGCCAGTGTAGGACAGGGATTAAGAGCTTGGCCTCTGCGGTTACAGTCACCCGTCACCCAGCTTCAAGTGCTAAGTGTGTTGGTGATGGTGGTTGGTATATAGTTCCAACACTTGCTTTCTGTGTGACCTTGGGCAAGTTACTGCAACTTCCTAAGCCTCAGTTTTTCCATCTAAAATATGATGATGATAAGAATACCTGTGACATAGGGCTGCTGTGGGGATTCAGTGGGATTTTATATAGTAGTCCCTCTTTATCCAAAGCGGATGTGATCCAGGGCCCCCAGTGGATTTCTGAAAGCTGGATATTACCAAAACCTGTATACGCTGTGTTTTCCTGTATGTATATACCCATGATAAAGTTGAATTTATAAATTAGGCACAATAAGAGATTAACAATAACTAATAATAAAATAGAACATGCTGGGCGAGGTGGCTCACACCTGTAATCCCAGCACTTTGGGAGGCTGAGACAGGTAGATTGCCTGAGGTCAGGAGTTCCAGACCAGCCTGGCCAACATGGTGAAACCCTAGCTCTACTAAAAATACAAAACAAAACAAAACAAAAAAGCCAGGGGCAGTGGTGGGCATCTGTAATCCCAGCTACTCGGGAGGCTGAGGCAGGATAATCACTTGAACCTGGAAGGTGGAGGTTGCAGTGAGCTGAGATCGCACCACTGCATTCCAACCTGGGGGACAGAGTGAGACTTGGTCTCAAAAAAAAAAAAAAAAGTAAAAAAATTAGAACAATTATAACAATATGTCAGCACCACTACTCTCGTACTTTGGGGCCATTATGAAGTAAAATAAGGGTTACTTGAATACAAGCACTGCAATGCCTCAGCAGTCAATCTGTTCACCCAGGCAGCTGCTGAGTGACTAATGGGCAGGTAGCATATACAGCGTGACTGTGCTGGACAAAGGGATGGTTCAGGTCCTGGGTGGGATGTCCTCATGCAATGCAGAACAGCGCGCAATTTAAAATGTATGAATTGTTTAGTTTTGGAATTTTCCATGTAATATTTTTGGACTGAGGTTAACTGCAGGTTGAAACCACAGAAAGCAAAACCATGGATAAGGAGGACTACCAAGAAAATGTTAGCACAAGGCCTGGAACACGGTCAGTTCGGTGGTGAAGGTGA